ATGCATTCTTGTATGGTGTATCTTATAAGAATGGGTATACAAGATTGCGTGGTATATTAAACAAGGTAGTGACGTGCTAATTTCTAGACTTACATATTAAGATACTAGTAGAAATGACTCGCATACATAAATTTGAATAACTTGGATTGACCAGTCCCCGAAAGCAGCGCCTGTTCACAGACATGACGAGTGATATCTTTTATAATTAATTAATAAGGACATCTTTAGTGTTAATTTTTCGTCAAACTATTGAGGTACCAGTTAAAGTTAATAGTGTGTAAAAAAAGTAGCATATTAGTAGGTACTTAACTAATTCTAAGTGGATTGAATAAAATACATTTAAATGTTTTATAAATTAATTTATTATGCATCATTGCATCGTCTCCCCGCAGCAACAGTTATTTATTTAAAACCTAAATTAATGAGCTTTCAGAAAAGCTTTAGCTTATACACAGGGTTCACTTAAAATCATATAAAAATCATTTTTAAATTTAAACAAAAAATCCCAACATGACAGACTTGTATTCAGTTCGTATAGTCGCCATGGCTTTGGGTCATTTACAAAAGAAGTATATTATAAAAGATAACATAATTTCAATGTTGTTAAGTTGTGCTTTAAACATTAATCCTGATTATAAAATATATAATTATTTATGAGTGTTGGACACTAGTTTAAAATGACATTTTAATACAAATAATGCAAAATGGAAATTGAAACAAGTGTTCAATGCCCGTTTTCAGCATCAATCCCTAATTTTTAAGTGACAAAATTCATGTTATGTGTTACCATAGGGGTCACTTAAAAATCAGGGATTGATGGTTAAAACGGGCATATGTCATGTATAAATACAAAATGTCAATTTAAACTAGTGTTCAAGCCAAGTATAACTTACAAAAATGACAATTTAAACTGATGTTCAAGTCACGTATAACTTTTTCTTAGTAAAGGGGGTAAACAGTTTTAAAAACTTGACAAGGCAGTGATGATTGTCTAAAGAAGTCTTGGTTTTTAATATAATAGCCATAAAGCAATTATAATGGCGTAAAAGATAATAAGAATAATGCATGAGAATACATATTTAATTCTCACATAATATCCTTAGTATACCAAAATAATAGTGGTCCAAAGTAAAAAAATAAATACTTATGCGAAGTAAAATAAAATAACTAGGTAACGTAATATTATTTTCTTAGGTCAGTATTAAAAAGGCAGCGTTGACCGAATGAAAATAAATTGAAGCCTAATCTATATTCTTTTAAAACAAATATTTTAAATACATAAACATTAAAAATATAAAATAACCTATCTACAAAGTGACAAAATGGTAACTCCTCTAATCATGATTTTTCAAGGCGAGGTAAATAATGCATGGCGAAAAATAGAGCTATAGAAAATATCAGTTAGAACTTAAAGCCTTCGATACACTAAAGTACAATATGAGGAAAGAATTTCAGAAGATTATTTTGAAAGAGATACACTTGTGTAGATTTAAGATAATATTTTGTTTGATTTGAAGTGCCAATATAGCGCGTAGCATAAATCTGTTTAAATAAAACAGAAAAAATTTTACTCATACTTCTTTTTTTCCTTAGTGTGTTCGGGGCTTTAGGCGCTTTTAAAAGCTCTTAAAAACAAAAATATGATTTCTGAAATATTTGTATGTTGATAGATAGTTAGTAAAATTAGAGTCAGATATGGAAACTCACGTGCGTGAATGGCACATGTAGACTTAAGATTAAAGACGGACTTACAACTAAATATTGCATCTTATTTTGATACATTTATTCATTTATATAGATAATACGACTATTTTATACAAAACATATTAAGTAGCAGTTTTAATAAATAATGTAGGTAACTGCTTATATTTTAATACTAAGCACACAGAAATATTATGTAATAAGTTACTAGTATTTTACCAGGTCAAAGAAGTTAGTCGTTTCTTTCCTAAAAAATCCAGGCAAAACAAAATTATTAAGTACCTATTGATTAATTTAATATTTGCTTTTTTCTGAAAAATATTAATGTCTTTAAAGAACCTAAGAAAGAAAAAGAAATCGATACTACCTCTACTTAATCGATAGGTACAAAAATACAAAAACGTAAGTCCCAAACATCTGGCCTGCCAGAGGCTTGCCTAATTACAATGTACAAGCAACTATATTTACATTTGAGCACTCAACACATAGTGCGTACTATGACACTTTCGTAAAAGTTTTCGAGTCCAATAAACCTATTTTGCGATGAAAATTTCACGAAACAAACATTGTCCTTGTAATGCAAGCCTACAAAACTTAGTTACGTACATGCTGTATTTATTTGTCATTAGTTAGTGTACAACTAGTAATGTGACTATTTCTAAATGTTATCTTATGTAGAAAAGCTTGCTAAAAACCCAACCTTGAGGTATGGGCTCCTCACTTTACAACAAATATTTGGCAATTTAAAAAACATTCTACAGTGGGAATCCCACATACTGTTTGTAACAAAACCTTAACTAGATTTTTATGTCGTATATTTTGTATCTTTGCATTAATTTTATTTTGTTTCGCCATTTTCATCGCTTTATCTAACAATCTATCCGGAGCCGCCCGACCCGCTAACGTAGACGTCCGTTGCCGCGCGCTGCCCGGCCCGAATGACGTTCTGCACCGTCTGCGCCGCGCCCTGGAAAATTAAATAAAAATTGTTTTAATTTAAAAAAAATGTTTTGGTAATGGTATGGGCAAAGGAAAGGTTCATTTCTTTTAAGATAGTTACTTTAACATACTGTATTTCTTACCAAATCAAATACGGTAATACGATAGGTTTCATCAAAAAAAGATTGATAAATTTTATTTAAAAGAGTAGGTAACATTAAAAAGATACCTACCTAAAAATTTCAACTAAGGAGGATTTAAAAATGATCATATTTTGTGATTATTTCAGTAAATGTTTTCTAATTAATGAATAGTAACATAATAGTGATCATGATAAGTTAGATTTATGACTAAATTAATAGTGAGTGAATGCCAATTACTGTCGTTAAAAATTTTGAATGATAAAAGCAAGACAAATCGAAATATTGCCAATTGGAATTCCTGTGAACATCAACTTTACAAAATATAATACAAAAACACAAAACAAGACAAAAGTTCAAAAATTACATTCTCGAAACATACCCCAAAGAAAACAATCCAAAAAAAATCGAATTCGAACCAATTGGAAGTAATCCAAAACAAAGTATACCTGTATGGCCGCTCCAAGGAACTGCGAGAAGGCACGAGTGACGTTGATGGCGGCTGACACCAGCTGCCCCCGGCCCGGGGTCTGCTCTGACGTCACAGCCCTCGGGGGGTCCAATGGGACCTGGCCCAGACCAGTCCGGTTAGACACACAGCGACAGTGGTGGCTAAGGCACGCTATAGTGCTGATATGGTCAAGTTAATGTATTAAATGTTCCATTATAATCTTTAATGCTTCGCTATGAAAACTTGTCCCATTTTAGACTGGGAAAGGTTATTATTAGACACAAAAAAGAAAAGACCGTAGCTGTAATTTAGTCAAAGAAGTACCAGGATTACCTCAGGAGGAGTACCTCTTAAGGAAAAAGAGCTCTATAGTCAAAAGTACTTTCGTAACTAGTTGGAATCGAACAGCTGATAATAAATCCAGCTTACATAGCCGGCACAAACAATTTTATATTTTCCAAAATTTTAGTAGGTACCTACATTCAGTAACGTAACGTATGCAACTGAAACAAACCAGTTTTCAATCCTGAAGTTCTGTTACTTTATACTGAGAGATAAACTATTTGACGAACTTATGGAACATTTAATCAGTGTCTTACTTGAAGAAATATTACTCAAATCAGCACACATAGCGTGACTTCGACCGGATTGATAGGCAAAATTAGACATGGATGAGAAAGGGCAGATGTAACAGTAAAATTAAGAAATCAGTTTTCTTTATAAGCTCATTTGCACGTTATTACTGTTTAAAAATTTAAACAGATTTAATGCAAGTGAGCATCTATAACTAATAACTGGTTTTTTAAGTTAATTTATTGGTGAAATTCACCTCATCTATTTAAATTCCCAAAAACTGAAAAAGTCGAAAGAAGATCTGCCCTTGAAATGAAAAAATATTGTAGTGGGTGATAGAAGTGCTGAAGCTGCGTAATGTGAGATTGTGAACTATCTTGATGACAATAAAAAGTATGTACTTAGTAAAGAAAATAATAAAGTAAATAAAGAAATCGTCATCAAAATAGTAGATTTTGTAGTTTTTGTGCTCGTGAGAGAAGTGTAACACAGTGTGCTGTCCATGCAAATGTTTAGTACCATGCAAAATATTTACATAAATTACATATTTTACATAGATACAAGTATGAATATCAGAAAATAAAATGATAGGTAGATTAGAAATTATGAATACATAACGTCTTGATAACTCACATAATTACTCCATTTCCTTTTGAGGCATTTAAAAACCGTTTTTTTGTTAAAATTAATAAAAAAAATAAAAAATTTAATTAATGAAGATGGAATTAACATTTTTAAAGCATTTTAGTCGCATCGGCGATGATAAGAATGATTTATTCTAAATTTTTGTTAAAAGCCAATCGTATTTTAAAATCAAAACTTTTGAATTTTACTCACCAAAGTTTGTAACTCTCACACTGAATAAATGTACACTTCGAATGGTTAAAACAACTAAAACACTACATAATGTACAATTAATTTATCTATATACTTTACAAGATATACACAAATAGTGTTAATATTAGAACACGGTCCATTCACCAAATTGACACAGAAATTCAAATTATTTACCGAAAACTTCTAATAACTAAACTACAACAAACTATGGAGATAGACTATATTTTTTAAACAAATTGTTAAAATGTAATCTCTCTCCAAGAGTATTTAATTATGCTTTATAACTATAAAAATCACAAACAAATAATAACAACAAGTTAGCACAAAACATTTATTACACAAACGCGTTGCTTTAAAAAAATATTGTATGTACAAGCCGATGAAGCGAATTTTAATAAATAATAGTAACTAGACAAAAATGAAATATTTTTTATACAATACAAATTCATTATCTTATACCTACCGTCTATGTACAGCTCCCAACCGCCATTCCCTCAACACTATACACAAATTCAGACTTAGATTAAATAGGAACAACTAGTATTAGTATTAGTAAACGAGACGAAATGATCTAAAATTGTTATATTTAATCTAAGATCTGGTACCGTCACCTCAACCCCAGTCGCACAATTTGAGTAAAAGAGACGCGAAACCCACTCGGTTCGATGTCGGCTTATCGTCCGCATTGCCGACGAACGGTCCGGAGCCAAACCAGTTGACTCGATTGCTCGTGGATGCTGATGATGAGATGGTGGGGCTGGAGGATGGCGCTGGCTTTCTAGGCCTGGCTGGGGCTGGGCCTGGCGCAGTCTCCCTCCATTGCTGCCAGAGCCACGCCAGGCCATCCAGAACAGGCCTCCTTTGAGGCGGCGGCGGCGGCGGCGGCGTGGTAGTCCTCCTCGCCTTCGGCGTCACTACCACTTGGTTGAGCAAAGCCTACGAGGTTACAGTTAGGTCTATTGTTACTGGTTAAATTATGACTATTCTAGGGGTGCTCGTTAAATGTGTCGTTATTGAAAATGATGAAAGGGAAATCGTAGTAGAAATCAAGATTGAAATGGTTATTAGGTATTGAAGATACTAAATTATCTAAAACTAATTTTAAATCTTGAAAAAATATATTGCCTTAGGTAATAATAGAACCCATATGAGCATTAAAAAAAATAAAGGTTCAATTCTTACAAAAGATCATCGATTTCAAGTTTCAAAATTATTCTACGATTGAAATGAACGAGAAGCGTTACGATGCAAAGGTAGAGTGTTCAAAGTGTTGGTAAATCTTAGTTTGAAAATGATTTTAATGGTTTAAAGAGTAGAAAAGTGAAGACTAACAGATAGTCGGAGCTGTTCATCCAACGAACTTGCCGTGGTGGGCCCGAAGCCTTGCTCCTTGAGCAGCGCTGCCAGCAATGCGTCGTTGCTCTTCCCAAACTCCGTGCTTAGAGACATAGGCGCTTGCGTCGCTTCAGAGACCATGCCGGACGGTTTAGGCTTGTTCTGGTTTTGTAGCAGCTTCTGCAAAGCCTCGTCAGATGTATGCCCTGAAAATGTTTATGAATAGGTTTTAGTCACTGTCAAATTAATCTATAGCTGTAATAAATATTACATTCGATAGTTAGGTCGACATTAGTTAAAAATATATACTATTGTTCTGCGTGTTTCTCAATCACATAAATCTTAACAGATTTAAATAGATTATTTACAAAAGCAAACCCTCCCTAGTTTGTTGTTGGTATACCGTAAATAAAATAAAATAAAAGTAAAAAAATAGACATCTAAAGAAAGAAAGAAAGAAAGAAAGATATTAATTTTTTTTTACTACTTAGTAAAAACATATAAACATGGCCTTTTTGGTTTATTTCTAGACTCTTAATTAGAACAAAACATTGTTTACTTTCTAAATTAAATAAATTGTAATAATATTAGTCAAGGTGGTGTTTACGTTTGTCACGCACGTGCGATCAAGTAGGTATACTGTAACTGCCACATGATAGAAAAAATATGGTAATACTCATACCTGTAATAGCCAATTTGTTTTTCTGCGTCGTTGTCTCTTGAACGTCCTGCAATTTGATCAAAGTTTTTAACAATTTTTCGTCATCTTGCACACTCTTCAAGCTGTCTTTCACAGCGATTTTTGCTCCAAAAGGCTTAGCTGTTAAACTGTCAGTCTTAGTCGTCTGTTTGTTCGTCCTTGTGTTAGATTTCGTTGTTAATGAGTCAAAAGGCTCGTTAAGAGGCGAAGGCGAGGCAAGTAGATTCGAAAGGACTTTCAAATCTTTTGTTGCTATTGCACTCACTTGTGTCGTTGGAAGATTTGGTAGTGTCGGTATATTGAATTTCGATGGGTCCTGCCCGGTTGCCTTTAGTAATGCTTGCAGTAGTTTTGTGTCTTCCTGGAACTGTTTGATATCGTCCTCTAGTGATGGTGTAATTTTAACTGTTGTTGGACGTGTTGTTGTTGTTGTTGGGCGTGGTGTTGTTGTCGTCGTTGTAGTTGTTGTTGTTGTAGTAGTAGTAGTTGATGTTGTTGTAGTAGTAGGAATTGCATTTACAGCATTGTTTGCAATAGCTTTTCCAGTGCGGTCAGAAGACTGAATTTCGTTCAGGCTTCTTTCAACGGCAAGAGCGATGATGCGGTTGGCAAGAGAAGATTCTGGATCTTCATTGTTGACGTTGTTCTTCAATACAGATTTCTGGAACAGTTAAGTTTATAGTTAAGAATAATTTCAGTCATTATGACAACAGCCAACTTGCTAGATTCATTATTTGATTTTACCTATAAATAACCGGAAATTATTAGTAAAACTAAGGCTGGGTTGCACCATTTTATTTAAATTTTGACAAACTTTAAAAATCTGTCAAACTCTATACAAAAAGCACCGGTTAGCGTTATACGGTCAAAGTTAGGTGGTGCAACTCAGTCTAAGAGTAGGCGCACACCGTTGATTTTTAGTTGGCCGATAGTTGTGCCCGATTTTAAATGACATTGGGAACTTTTTGCCCCACTTTTCGAAAAGTAGCGGACACAAACGAAACCTATCACAGATGATACATACTAATATCCAATGAATTTCCGTGCATTTTTTTTTCTCTCTTATATGGGAATATTGAGAAAATGAAGTTTTAATATTTTATTTTAATTTACATTTAGGTAACATTTTTGACGACCTCCGTGGCGGAGAGGCGCACACACCGGTTTTCAAGGTGTGCCGGGCCAATCCTGAGGTCCCGGGTTCGATTCCCGGCCGGGACAATATAGAAAACGATCTTTTCACATTGTCTCTGGTTTGGGTGTGTTGTGGTTCATCGTTCCCGATTTCCATAACACAAATGCCTTAGCTACTTATTTTGGGTTGGAGTAATATATGAGATGTTGTCTAATATTAATTCAAGTATTTATAATATTTTATTTATTTATATTATTTGATTTATATTTTTTATTTATTGATATTATTTTATTTACTTTTATTGGTTACTCTGCAATGCCAAACAACATAACATGTAAAAATATCAAATCATTTTAGACAAATATATTTTCAACTTAGACTCGTCATATCTCAGAATTCCCATATCTCACAACATAGCGCTTTAAGTGAATATACGTACAAGTATAAAGCTTTGAAATAAAATACGTTTCATCTTTGTCCGCCGTGGGGCATTTTCTCATATTAAAGTTCCCAATGTCCTTTTATGAAAAATCGGCCAAATCGAATCGGCGTAGGGTGCGCACTCCCATACATGCCCATACTGATCAACTGCCCGACTAAACTATCGTCCGACGAAAAATCAATAGTGTGCGCCTACTCTAAGAGTATAAATACAGTGATTTAAAGTTCGTTTGAAAGCCTTAAAACTAGATTTCATAGTATTTAAATAGGAACATTTAATAACATGGTCTTTGTTGAAATTAATTAATATGTTCACTCACCAGGTTCTTGAGGAAAGCTAAATCCTCTTGCACAGAGAACGTAGATGTGCTCGGCATGTCAGTCGTTGTGGTGAACCTTGCGCCAGGCGAACGGCGTCCGGACAAAAGCGTGGTTGACTCTACATTGCGAGCTGTGGTCGTTGGCCCTCTTCTCCTCTGGTTAAAAGGCAGTAATGTGGTCGAAATTCCACCTTCAGTCGTCGTCTGTAACGTATTGAAAGCACTTCTAGGAGCAAACGTGAAAACGGGAGTGGGAGGGGTAGTCGTTCTCGATTGGTAAACTGGCCTGACATTTATCGGTGTAGTTGGATTTGAACCAAGTGAAGTTGTGAGCGGGTTTGATGCTATTCTCACGTTTGACGTGACTCCTGTTATTATAGGGAGATTAAGGTTGCCTGGGTTTTGACCAGTGGCTTGTAGTAAGGCTTGCAAAAGTTTCGTGTCCTCTTCCAATTTTTTAATATCGTCGTCAATTGATTGTGTTGTTGTTATTTGTTTCGTTGTTGTTGGCCTAGCAGTTGTTGTTGTTGGCCTGGGAGTGGTAGTTGTTGTTGGCCTAGGCGTTGTCGTTGTTGTAGTGGGTACAGTGGTGGTTGGTGCAGCAGTGGTGGTAGTCAACTTTACGTTTAAGGTTGGAATATTAAAGTTGGCAGGATTTTGTCCGGTAGCTTGCAGTAATGCCTTCAACAACTTCGTGTCTTCTTCAAACTGACGAATGTCATCCTCTATTGATCGAACTGTCGTCGTTTGTGGCCCTGGAGTGATTCTTAAATTTCCTCCGATGTTAGGGATGGTCAAAGTATTTGACTTTTGACCCGTAGCTGATAAGAGAGCTTGTAGCAATTGCGCTTCATTTATTTGCTGGGCGTTTATTGATGCAGTATTAGTTGTTGGTTGCGCAGTTGTAGTCACTCCGCCGAGTATTATATTTGAGGGTGAGATTAAGTTTTTAGGATTTCGTGCTACAGTGCCTTTTAGCAACTCTTGCAAAAGCCGAGCGTCTTCCTGATATTGCCTTTCGTCTTCCGTTGTGACTGCGGGTGTCGTAGATGGGACAAAAGTGGTTTGAACTGTTGTAGGCACTTGTGTTGTAGTTGTAGGCACTGGTGTAGTTGTGGTTGTTGTGGCTTCAGTTGTTGTCGTCGTCGTTGGAGCCGCCGTTGTTGTTGTTGGCGCTGCAGTTGTTGTTGTCGTTGTTGTTGTTGGTGCCATAGTTGTTGTTGTTGTTGTTGTTGTCGCCTCAGTCGTAGTTGTTGTTGTTGTTGTTGCTTCAGTTGTGGTTGTCGTTGTTGGAGCCAACGTTGTGGTCGGAAGCTGAGTTGTCGAAGTTACCTCTACTGTAGTTTCACCCACAGTTGCAGTATAAGGTGGTAATGAAGTCGTTTCAACATTTGTATATGGTGTTATCAATTCTACCGCCGCAGTTGTCGTAGGATCGTTCGGTATTTCTATTCGTGTTTGAATTTGTGGTGTTTGTGTATTCATCTCAGTAGCTGCCATTGTACTGGCAGTTTGTACTTCAGCCTTCTCAGTGCTCATCGTAGAAGGTACTTTTGGTGAAGCTAGTTTCAAAACATTTGTATTTTGTGGTGCAACCGTGACTTCGTCAATGGGAATAAATTTAAATACAGCACTTCCAGTCCCATCACCTGGTTTTTCCGTCCGAATTTGTTTGGTCTGCAATTTGTAGAAAAAATGCTTTAGATACGTCACAAAACTACGAACATCAAAAAATACAAACAGAAACCTTAACCCATTTTGCAACCCGTCACCACTTACCTTCGGCCTTAAGACTTAAAATAATCCGTGCAACCCAAAATGATTACTACTAGAATGACTCAAAAATGTTTCCTATTAGTTGCAACAACTACTGACTTAAACAATTATTATACCTCCGGATCGATATCCAGTGTTAATATTCTTGGTTTGAGAGTAGAGCTCGTCATGGATGATATGACCATTTCCTCTTTAGCAGCCGAAGATATACTATTAAGCAAAATCTCATCAAGAGAAGGTAGCATTGTAGTTGTGCGTAAACTCAATACATGCGAGGCTGTGCTTTTTTCAGTAGGCGGCTTTTTTGTGGCAGTAGTTATACCGAATGAACTGCTTTCTTTTATATTAAGTGCCGATGAAGGTATCTGCAAATTATGAAATAAAATGTTATGCCTTGCCTTGTTAATGTTAAGAAGCGTTACGTGCAATGCATGCAGAGCTTACGATAGACCCGGAGACCTCATGCATCCTCGAACTACTTCCTGGCGGCAGTGAAACGAAGCCCCAAGCACAGCTTTCAAGCTAAACAACGTAAAGTCAATACCATCATTTGTAGGTTATTTACAGTGTCGTTGGTTAATCGACTTTCCGTTCCGTTATTTGAGGTGTCTGTGGATGTCACGATATTAGTGGATACTCGGATGGGGTTAGACTGCGGTCTGACAATGGCCGGATTATTATGGATGGGGCTGTATGGGTTTCTTAAACTCCATGGACTGATTGGTAGTATGTCAATTTTTTGCATGACTCGTGGTACTCTGGTTCCGTTCGGGAATCTGCGGATTACTGTGTTATTGGGTAGCACACCGTAAACGATGTAAGGAGTTGCTTCTGTTAATGATTCCAGCACATCGTCGTTAGGGTCTTTACGTACCACTGTATTGTTCGGTAAAATTCCAAAAATAACGTAGTCTTTTTTCGGAACAGCAGACTGACCGGCGACGTTGACCTCAACTTGTGAAATAAGGTTTTGTTTTGTTTGATTAGTTTGTGTAGTGGTTGTACTTTCGACATCAGTTAGAGTTGTTGTTTCTAATTCGGTATCAGTTGTCGTCTCGATATTCAAGGACGTAGTGGTTTCCATAGATTCTGACGATGTTGTAGTTTCGATAATACCTTCACTGCTTGTTACATCTTCCGAACCGACTCTGCTTGAGATATCTATTTGAGCCTGTGCCGTCATTTCCAGTGATGTTTCGCTAGAATTCATTCCGATACCAGAACTGGTAGACATTTGAGACGTTGCGGATTCAGTGCTACTCGCAAGAGTGGCAACAGGCTCTACTGTTGATGCAACTCCGTTATTATTCCCATCCCCATTAATAGTTGTAAGGCCATTTATTATGGAAGATTCCGTAGATGTCAAAGATGGAATTAAATTAAGGGGAGTTGTCATAGGAGTAGTTAAGTCATTGTTTTCAGTAGTAGAAGAAGTCATTGTGTTCATTATTCTAGTCAGACGGTCAGAAAGTTGTACGTTGTTATTAGATTGGTCTAGTATTTCAGTCAGAGGAGTAACAGTCGCTAATTCGTCATTATGTTGGCGGATAAGATCTTCAATCATTTTTAAGACCCTAGCTTTCTTCGACAGCACCCACAATTGGAATTTTGACACCTGACTGGGGTCTTCCACATCAAGATTATAAATATCTTGAGAAGGCGTAGCAAGTGCAGCAGCCGAACGTGTTATCTGAGGTTGAGTGGAAGAAGTGATATTTTCCGTTTGATTGGTGATAAAATCACCAAATTTAAAATTAGTTAAAAAGGGGATTGGCGATAAATGATTATCTGGGATAACACTAGACCGTTCTGTAATTTCAACGTTCCCAGTAACTGCGTCTGTATCTAGTTGGTCAGAAAATCTAAGAGGGAAAGTATCTGTCGTTGACTGAGATGATTCTGTCGTCAATTGGATATTATTTACAGGAATGGTGTTCGGTGTTGAACTTGTTGTAATCTGACTTGTAGATACAGACACAGTACTTGAAGCTTGTGGTGTGGTGCTAGGACTATTTACAGGTTGATTGCTGTCATTTGCGTCAATAACAGTTGTGCCAACATTATTTACTGTGCTATTTACAGAACCATTTTGGATGATATTAAAGTTAGACATGTCCAAAGAACCGTCATTATTTATTACAACATTTTCAGTATCTTTAATATCCTCCAAAGAATAAGGAGTTGTGTTTGGTATTATGTCTACGTCTTTAACTACAGTCGCAAGTCCGTCAATCGCCCTAGGAATTAGTGACTTTAATAATTCAGCCATATCCGAGGAAACTCTAGATCTACTACTTTCATCCAAATTTTCAATAATACTTTTAATGTTATTAGCTAACATGCTAGTTAGTTCAGACGAAACTAAATTGTTATTGGGTAACAAAAGATCAGATACAGTGTTATATACCATTGTTGGGTCAGTCGATGGCTGAACAGATGAGGGTTCAGTTGAAGTCATAATTCTGTCTGTTGGTGATTCTGTATCAGAGTACAAAACTTTTATAGCGAAGGGTCTCCTTGCGGAAACAGGGGTCGTGGGAGTGGGAATGGGAACTGGTCGTATTGTATTCACAGAATCTACGTTTCCCTCTTTGGTACTTAGTGACGGAGTGACACCTTCCCCAACCGACAAACGGTTAATCACAATTGGTGTGGTTTGATCAGTGTTCTGTACAGGTTTAGCGTTTGTGTTTATACCAGCTATCGTTGTCAGTAACGGGTCTTGACTCGGCAAGCCTCCGACACTATTTACATTAAGGTTGTTACTCACGCCGTTGAGTGTCTGTGTTACATCGTTATTAGTGTATTGGTTTATCAATACTTCTGTTGTTGTTGAGAGTCGGGGTCTGGGTGTGGACGTAAGTATTTCAGCTAAAGCATCAAATATTGATACTGTAACTGAAGGCGAGTGATGTGATGCTTCAACGTTCATGACATGTGATGACTTCACTAGACTCTCCGAAAGTCTTAAGTCCGCTGAGGACAGTGTACTTCGTGTCTTAGTAAAGGAGATAGCATTCATGTCTGGCCCTAAATAAATTTCTTCTCCCTCTACCTGAAATAAGAAGTAGTCTCACCCATATAAATAGAATATAGAAGTTGTGTAATATAAGAAAAGTATGCTGTGTAAATGTTTGATTCAAAGAAACAGAAACTTGTGCAAAGACCAAAGCCACTTTATATGAATTGGAATCAAAGTAGAGAACAGCGAGTCGGTGTTATAGAGTAAAGAGAAAGTACTTGAAAATGTCTGCACATTGAAACAAGTGGTAAAATTTATACAATTTAATGACTTTTTCAAAAATGTTAGTGAAATGCTATTTTACAAATAATTTCACAAAAGTATAAATATTAGTTTGCAAAGCTTCTGCGTTTATAAATGATTGTAGATACTACTTTATTTGGTTCCATTGAAATTCAACGCAAAAACTTTTAATGATAAAATTTATGCATGACCATGGTAATGAACTTCGTTTTGTTCTAAAGAGATATTTTTCTATAATTAAATAACCTATATCATTATAAAATGTAAATAATACTACAAAATAGTAATAAATAAACATCGTCAACTAAACTTAAATGCAAAATAGTACAGTCATATCTCTTTAGCACCCAACTGAATGAATTACAAAAGAATGTGTATGAATGAATATGTTAAACTATATGAATCCATTAACCAGTTCTATGGATGACACGTGAATGATTGGTGGCGTGGTGATGACCTGTCTTGACATGGATTCTGTCGTGACATCGCGTGTATCGTCTTCATCGAACCAATTTGGCTCCTCTACAGACTTTGTCAACAGTTGGTCAGTGACGAAGAATTTCAGCCAAGCCTTTAGCAATGAGAAACTTGTTATTATTATTTTTATAATGCAATACGGAACTTAAATAGTGCGGTGGGTTTTAGTTTTATATGTAGCGGTAGCGTTGCTTATAAATAAGTTATCGTTAAGATGATAGAAAAGCTGCGACCACACTATGTATTGCAGCTCTAGAACGAAATGATATATGAGTAGACTCAATATCTAAGAATTTCTCATACAATTTTTTTTTTTACAATAATATGATACTTCACTGGACTACAACGCACTGTGTGGTCTCCTCACCGTACGTCCTAAATGTATTTTTCAGAAACAATAACTTTTACATTAAACTTCAGAATGTGGGCTTGAGTTTTTAGTTTTTAAATTAAAACTAAGTGCAAAAGCAAAAGTTTTTGCTTCCTTAATATAACTAAAAATGAATTATTAATAGTGAATTTTGAAATGGGGATTATTTTTGTGAATGTATGGTTGATTTATATTCAATTTATGTTTATTTTGTCCCTTTGCCTACTCTTACTGCCAATTACATAAAGGGGCTTTGTTGGAATTTTGCATAGTGTTAATGTCACGTCTTAACAGTCATCTGTAATAATACAGTCAAATTCTAGTTCTGTATTGTTACACAAACGCAGTACATATTAATCTGCGTCAGTTTAGTTTTAATTTAAATCTAATTAACATTTTGCTATTCTTAAATTAATATACGTGTGTTATAAACAATCATACTTACAGTTGAGGGTGTTACCGTAGGTACAGTTGGTTTATAAGCTGGTTTGTCTACATTTGGACCCCTATATTTAGAACTGAATCGGGTTTTTGGCTTTTCTTGATCAGCATTAATCTGCAAAAGGGAATCAACAACGTAGGTCCAAAATAATAAATTTATTTTACATCTTTAAAATATTCTAAATACTTACGCCATTAGTGGATGCTTCGGTTGTTTTTGAAAAAGACTCACTGTATTTTCTTAAGCCCTTCTCACGAGGCTTAGGTGCTTCCAGATCTTCGTATTGATCGTACGATTTCGTGCGTTTGCGACTATATTTCCTTGTCTGAATGTTCTTTACCGGTGTTATTGTTGAAGATATCACTTGATCTTTACTATCTAACGTTGTAGCGTTTGCATCTTTGTAGTTAGCATGATATTTTACAGTTGTCGGTGAAGTGTTAAAAACAGGGTTGTTTTCACTTTCTTCAGCGGTATTAGTAACATCATTCATCAAATTGTTTTCTTGGGACTCTTTGCTTGTTACAGCTATAATAAACATTTCTTGATCTTCATCATTATTCCGTTGTTGGGACTTTTCACTTGAAGTGTCAGCGTTTGAGGGGTTTTTCAGAAGAGTAAATATCAAAGGCATATCCGCTGTATTCTCACTTTTTTTACTTGCAATAGATTTGTCAGTAGTGACTTCTTCCGTTGATTCTGTAGTAGTGGACGTAGAAATGTTCTTGTTATTACGTGACCGACTGTAGTAAGAAGTTCTTGGTAAAATATTTTTTCTTCTAATCGGTTTTACAGTCACATCGTTATTTAAAGAGGTAGGTGCTTCAGTTGTAAAGTTTTTCTTTGGATAGCTTTTACGCTGATATGTAGATCTGGCTATCGATTTTTTAAGTAGTACGTTTGACTCGGTCCTTTTTGGTTTGTTAGTATCATCAGTTTTAGGTGCTTGCGTGGTCGTTACTTTAAACTTTCTGTTAAATTTATATTGAGGTTTTTCGGTGCTTGCACTAAAAGTTGTAGATGTACCAGCTGGAGAAAAAGTAGATTTCTGCCTCCGCGGCGTAAAAGTTCCTCTTGATCTAGGTTCAACAGTTCTTGGCTTAGGAGGCTCCGATGAAGACCCATCAGTGGACGATTCTTCCTTATTTTCTTTCTTGGAGTCCTTCTCAGCATTCAATTTACTGCGGAACTGAAAAAATTACAGCACATACAATAAGTTTTTTTTCTATTTTGAGAGTTATTTTAATCCAGTTTTTCTTGAGGATATTATTTCAAGTTGATTTGAAAAAGGTGATATGAATTAAAAAATCTGATACATCAAAATTTAATCACATAATCAAAGTGTATGTAAATAATGTTTACTCAAAATAATAAATCATAAAAGAGATGTTTGACTCATGTAATTACGAATCTTATAAACTGGGTCGGTGACCACAATTCCTGTTTGTAATGTGGTGTAACTTTACCCTTGAGTATTTGTTTGTGCCCGTGTTTGTCGACTGTGAGGAGGTAGTGTAAGTTTTGAAAACTTTCTGTGATGCTTTCACTGACAAACTCTCGCTGGTGGGAGAGCTCGTTTGTGTCTGAAATTGTAAATTTAGTGCCAATTGTTATACCAATGTTTAGAAGCCAATGTAGATGTCAGATTGTTGTACGCTTCAGCTTGTGATACAATGAGATTGTGAATATTCAATAAATATAATGAATTGAGATTTCTATTTATTGATTTGAATAACTACAATATTTAAGATCAAAAATAATTAGTAAATAAACAGTTATTTTAGTTTTGACATATACAGTGTGAGTCACGTTAAAGTGTACATATGAAAATAGATGAAACTAGACCTATTTTTATCGACAAAAAAGAGGTCATAAATTTTTGGAGATTTTTTTAAATTTTTTTATAGATTTTTTTTTCTTCCAATTACTTATTGTAAAGAAAACGTAATAACTTTTAAACTAAGCGGTATATCCTGATAAAATAAAAACAGTAATAATGCTTAATAACAGGCGATACTAAAAAAATACATAAAATACACAAAAAAGGCCAACAAATAACAAAAAAATTAACTTTTTGAAAAAAAGTTGATAACGAAGCTTTGAATGGCGCGCCCGGAGAGGCTTAGTTCAAACGTTCATAGCAAATGTTGTGATAGAGATAGAGACATGCGATTTTTGGTTTTACAAAGATAATACGATAGAGAATAATAAAAAGTAATAAAAACCACCTGTTATAGGGGCATTTTTTGGAGAAATTTATCAAATAACCAAAAAAACGCGAATTTTAAAGCAGATTTTTTTTGAAAAGTATCATTTTTTATTATTTTTTGGAATTTTTTGTGTATTTTATGTATTTTTTTAGTATAGCCTGTTATTTAGCATTATTACTGTTTTTATTTTATCAGGATATACCGCTTAGTTTAAAAGTTATTACGTTTTCTTTACAATAAGTAATTGGAAGAAAAAAAATTCTATAATTATTTTTTTAAAAATCGCAAAAATTTTTTGACCTCTTTTTTGTCGATAAAAATAGGTCTAGTTTCATCTATTTTCATATGTACACTTTAACGTGACTCACACTGTATTGGTTGAATGATCTCTCTTGTTATTATGAATTCATAAATTTTTGTTTATAAAAATACTTACAGATGCATTTTTTGCTTGTATCAGAGCTTTGAAACTCTCCGGGTAGTTGTCATCTTCGCTTATTTCATCACTGGTTTTTACTTTAGTTAGTGGTACTGGAGATCTGAAGTTCCCTCGTGTTAATGGCCTTTTCATCATCTTTATCACTTTCAATGAAGTTTCCTTTAGTGGCAAGCCCTCTGTGCTTTGTTGTAGGGAATTGTCGATGATCATTGGAGCGGATGGTTGAACTTCAGGTTGACTAGCTACGCTTTCTTCGTCCTGACTAGATTTTGTGACTTCGCTTTGAGTTTTCATCCCTTCTCCAGTTAAATTCGTGTCTGTTTCTGATAGCCTTGTTTTGTATCGGAGTTTTCGTGAGTTCCTCAAATCACCAGTTCTTAGAGTGGTTGGCCCTTTATCAGCTGTTGTTAATGTATTGATAGTGCCTGCAATATCAAGATCAAGTGATCTAGCATTAGGTCGAGTGTTAACGCGACCTCGTAACCTCCTTGGCGCTGCAGTTACAGCTTCTGTTGTTTGCGTAGTGGAGCTTCGTCTTCTGAACTGGTGGTTTGGGTCGACCGTTTTTTCCTCTGACGGTGTGGTTTTGGCTAAATCTTCAAAGGTAGAACTAATCACTTCTATCTTAGTTTCGTCGATAGTTGGAGAAGATACTTCTGGAGTTTGAGTCGTGGTTGTGGTCGTGGTCGTAGTAGAAGGTTTAGCTGTGGTCGTAGTAGTAGTGGTTGTAGATGTGCGTCTTACGTTCGTTCGTGAGCGGCTCCGACTAATATTCTCTCTGGTAGGTGGAGTAGTACTGGAACTACTTTCTATCCTGCTGCGGGTTCGATGCGTTCTTCTCGAGTCTAATCGTTCGTTTCGTGGTGGCGTCGGTGCTTCTGAAGAAGCTTCTGTCTTTTCTGCAGGCCTGCTTCTCGTTCTCGTCCGTACCACTTCTCGAGGTGGAACATCTTCTCGTCTTCTGCTGCCTCTAGGCCTGAAGGTAGGCTGTGCTTCTTGCGTTGGACTATCATCAAGACTCCTTCCATCGGGTGCAGGTGCCGTTGTTAATCTTCTGCCGGTTCTGCTCGCACCTTCTCCCTGAAAATCAGAAAAAGAGTTTGGTGAATTTCAAAACTAATCTATTCCCTTTATGATTCACATAGGTAATACTTAATCATAATCATAATATCTTTATTGCTTCATGTGGTACAAACAAGGTATTAAAAATAAAATACACTAATGATAAAAAATAAAAAATGTACTTATGTACAGTCGCGGAATGAAAAGGTTCGTCACCTTAGTGTCGGTTTTTGCTTGCACTAGGTACTGTAAGAGTCAAACCTGCCAACATAACAGTGCAAGAAAACAGTGCTGCTAACATTTAAATAAATATGACGTTTGCTAACGAATAAGGTGTTGCTTGTTTATTTTTCTATCCCATCAGTGCAATGCAATGATGACATTGACCAATTGACAATAGTTTTTTTTTATTTAATAGAAATAATAATGGCAGGTTGAACCAACAAGGTTTTAGTTTATCAATCATAATAATCTTCTTGACAAGATAAATCGTCAAACAACTTTGATCTGAATATTTTGAACTTTACTGACGAACAGTTAAAGATTATTTTTTCTAACTCGAGATTATTCTGTAACATAGTTTCAAAAGGTAATATGTGCTCGCGATTCGTTGAAGGATTCAATTTGAAAACTGACGAACCTTTTCATTCCGTGACTGTACTATAATTTACAAGTGAAATCACTTTAGTACCTACATAATCAATCGAATCGAATTAATAAATGCAGATTTATAGCTAACATCACTAATATGAATAATTACAATAAATGATTTACAATCATCATAATGTTCTAATATCTAATCGATATGCCAAAGCAGACTTTGCGTGTTTATGCAAACCCATCATAGATATTTCAATACATCTTCTGAGATCATTAATTTTGAATGCCTCTTCAAGAACATTTATTACACACATTGCATCGCACAGTTATGAAATGTTACAGAAATGCAGTGGAAACAAAGAAAGTATGCAGTCAGTATAAAAGACAATGGTTGGAATGATGAGGCGGTCATAGGAACGCGTTTTAGTTACTTAATACATAATAATGCGATTATGTATTACATGACGAAGGAATGTAGGAGATGGCTATTACGAACATGAGATAATAATAAAACAACTTAGTAATGAGAGCTTAGGTATGTTACTTTCAAGCTATTTTTAGACGGGTTTTCAATTGCCCAATTAAGTGGGTAAGCACGGAAATATACCAAACTAGCCGATAGTAGGCATCTTGTAATGTGAATTATAAACATTTTAAATTAGGTATTATAAATCTTTGCTTGTTGTAACGATGATAGTCAGAAAGATATAATACATAAATGAAGTCTCATAAAATACTCAATTACCTACATCATTATTGTACTGTTTAAATTCTCGTTTTATACCTTTATTAAATAACTGAAAAAAATCTTATATGAGCTTTATCGTTAATATTTTATACTCTACTGTAGAAAAAATTATCAAAGTAACTAACAAAAGCTAAAAGCTTGGTCAAAGTCTAAACTTACCAACTTTTTCAAAGCAATCATAACAACAAATCAGCGTGATTCTCAATTTCATGCACGATTCCAAATGACAACCGTCCAAATGATAGCAAGTGTGGATTAATGGATAAAGTGCCGAAACAGATTACCGTATGAGAAACGTCTGTAGCAGACAGTATAGTCTTTGTTACAATATACATAAGACACAAAATAAAAACAATGTGAGGCACCTGGTCTTTAAGTAGGTATGTCAGGAAGATCTAAAGGTCTAGATCAAACAGTGATCTATTTAAAGCTAGATTAGTTAAAGTTAACTCAAGGTTGAGATATAAAAGTAAACAGATCTTGTTAGCACGGAAAAAACATTTCCTACTGATGTATTTATACTTTATGTATTTATATCTTTGTATTTGATTACCATGTTACATTACTTAATCCTAAAGATCTAGCAGGAACGATGTACATGGTGTCCGGAACTATCAAGCCTAATAACGTAAAATAGGTTTGCATAGAAATAGAGGCAGATAGAGGTTGTTATATAAAGACCACGACAATGCATATAAACGTTATAAGGAGTCAGTTACTCGAGGTTTCGGTCGACGACTCGACTATTCCCACCTCTCGTGCCCACAGCTGCAACTCCTGTATAGCCAGGATCTACAACTTGACCGCCAATAAAAACCCACCCAAGTCAAAATAAATTGTCATTAGACCCGCAACGAAATTAAACAGAATAACATAGAAGGAGTTCCAAGTTAAGGATCGATTGCCTTCCAGTTAACGTGGATGAAAGGTGATAAACAAAGGTTTAAGTTATGTACCTCACTCGTACTTTCGTATTTTTAATAACATTTGACTATTGTTCTTTCGATCAAATCATCATTTCATACAAATGATGTCCACTGCTGGACAAGGACAATGACCAGTCCTACGCTGCCCGCATCCAGCTTCTTTTCGATTATTGTATACGAAATAAACAAACAAATAATCGAGTCCAAATCGATAACATCATTGTCTAACACTGAAATCCAATCTGCGTAAATGATAACGTTACCTAATGTCAGTAAAACTTTCTGCTCCACTGGCCATAAAACGAGTTGTTATAAAAATACGTTGTTAAACAGCCGGACGTGGCTGCCTTAATTATTTATATACTAGTGTCTTAATAAGGCGCTTTGTTTTATTTTTATACAGTAAAAATATGCAGCTGTTGACGAGTCTATTATTCTTTAATCATAGAAAATCCTTGCATCCCACGTAGAGTCACTCGATTTTCAATATCTCTTTATTTTTGTGGCTATTGACTAATTTATCTTTTCAACATACTTAAACATAATATTTTAAAACCTATTTAAAAGGAAATTTCAAAACTCTTTCGTGTCTAACAATTTGAAAACTGGCAACTATGTTTGAATTTTAAATTTTATAACATTAACGTATAACATCGTATAATTTTTCTCACAAAAGGTTTCTTACTTTTAATTTATTATCGTAGTCGCCAGCACCCCAGCTAACAAAACGAACAACCTTCCTCCACGATTTTGAATTTTACACCAATGTAATAAAGAACAAAATTACCTGAGTTATCTGTCACTGCTGGCAGCGTGACTGAACAAAACTCATATAGTTCCAAAATACTGGACTGTCCTGTCGATGACATTGACAGTGGGGCGCCACCGTCAATACCGGATCGCTGTTTCAGATTTTTGCCATGTTGGAAACCATATAGTTGAACGATGGTAGCGCCCCCCTGTCATTGAGTTTGGCGGGACAGTTCAGCGTGGGTCATCATTAGGCTTTAAACGAGCCGTCAGTTTAACTCACGAGCGATTTCACATGGTCAGTTAACTTGAGAGATAGCAATGCGAAAAATTTCACAAAGCTCCCATACAACCTTGGACTGGGCTGGGACAAAGAAGTGGTATCACGACAAATATCAGTGCCTTGCGACACGATTCGGTATTGCTACTACTTAGCTGACTGATTTGGATAGTATGCCGTTTAATTTAAAGGTCAAATATAGTTGATTAGGCTTTATGTTATCAGACTGAGACTGAAAGACTTATGATTATTTGAAGACGCTTGTTGGAGATGTTAAAATCTGTGTGTTTCTTCTTTGAATTTGTTAAGTTGGGTGGCGTTTTAACAACTGGAGCTACAACACTGATGTCTGATTTTTGAGCCGTGATGGTTATTTGATTCAAGTTAATGGACTAAAAGCTATATTAATACATACATTCATTAAAGCTAAAATTGTTTGGCATGCCCAAGCACGGAAACAAACTGGTAACAAAAGCTTAAAATGTTTTTACACTCTGCTTCCAAATAAGGGTTTTCGCGATTGAAAAATCCGCCAGATGGCAATACGTAGACGCGAGGTCCAAATGCTGCGTGATTGGTGGATTTTGACATATCTGTCAATGTCATGTCAAAAATAACTCATTGGGAACGAAACGAACCCAGGACTTCTAGGATGAGAGCGTTAAAAGACTAAGCGGTAAAGTGTTGAAAACTCTTGGAAACTTTTTACGATAGGTTCCTTTTCTTTCTGTTTCTTTTTATGTGGTGTACAATAAAGAGTATTTATTATTATTATAGGTAAACTACTCTCCAATAAAATATTATGCAAAGAAAGCTATAAAAAAATTAACGTTTAAGCAAGGCTTACGCGCCAAATGTTAACCATAAATCCCGAAGTAGCAATATAACTTAATAAATAATAAATCTAAAAACCTAGATATATATTCAGACCTTCAATTTAATGAGCTAAAACTAACGACGTAGTCAAATGGGGTGCTTAAACCACTAGATAATCAATAGAGTACACGTGTTCAGTGTTCACGCATGAATTGAGGGCGTGTGTAATAAGCACCACTATTACTATACAGGGTGTCCTAAATAGGAGTGTCAAGCCGAAGCCTAGAAGTCGAGCATCACCCGAATCACCCCCATGTATGTTCCGCGATTTTGATAGTTGTTTTAAATTTCTGTGCTTCGGCGCTTTTGTGGCGTGAATAGATAAGGTACATGCCTGATTTTTTTTATTATTATTAGATGAATTAGGCTAGTTGATTCAAAAGTTTTTCATGAATCCATAACACGAAAGTAAAGAAAAACAGTTGTAAAATCCTAAATGTTGTGAAAAAAATCATAACTATCAAAAGCTTCGGTTTGACAATATTTTTCGAACACCCTGTATATTCTGTGCCAGTGTGTGGATTGAGGTCTGAGAATGTACCTCTCACTTATGAGGTACAGTGATTAATTGTAGTAGTCAGAGACAGGACATTGCCCCGGACTGTACATGGTGCGCCCATGACTTCGTTCATGGATTTAAAGTTGAGGTTTCTTTTGGGTAATTCAGAGCTTAATATTTTTTTTAATTCAAAATAAGTATAATTAGTAGTAGAAGTAGCCCTTCAAGTACCAGCGAATCAATACAAAATGGAAATAATTGTTACCGAGATCTCTCTCACTTAGGCTGGTTGCACCATCTTACTTTAACTTTAACAAACGTCGAAAATCTGTCAAACTG